CATACAGGCCTAAAATCATCCAAAGTGATCTAAAATCCACCTTAAAACTGCCCAGTTTATCCTAAAACCACTCAAACAGGCCCAAACCACCCAAATGGGTTTATATCATCCAAAGGGATCTAAAATCCACCCTCATTGCAGGGGCTAATGGTAATCCCCTGTCCTGATCGTATCGCCTGTCCTGATCATAATCTTTATTACGCCCATGAGCGGCGTTAGCCTGCTGGGCAGCCTTTTTCTCAGCCTGAAGCTTTACCATCTCATTGTGAACCACCCTCCATAACTTACCTAACTTCTTGGCAGTTTTATCGCCCTCTAAAGTAGCCTCCCATAATAAATCACCAAATTTACTCCACTCCGTTAACTCGTGAACCATATGGGGGTTAATAAAAACTCCCCTATTGTAGCCATAAGTCAAAAGCCCTGGTGAATCCTTTTGCAAATCTATCCCCTTAACCTGCCTTTTTTGTAAAAAGGCAGTAAATGAATCATATGCTGCTTGCCTTTCGATACCTAGATCGTCAGTGCTGTTGCAGCCTCTTCAAGGTCCGTGCAGCATGTATCGGTCGGGCTCGCCTGTACGACACCCGAGGCACGATGCGTCCCATCTTCTTTTTTATCCGCTTTTTTTTTCCTTTTCTCCACGTTTTCTGCCGTCCCGGCTGCTTCTCAAGACCCGAGCCGTATCTTCACTGCTCCGTGGTGCGTTGCCATATCACAATCGGGTGTCACCATTTGAGGAAGCGAAGGGAGTCGGCCACATCCTTATTGATGAGCATCAAACTCCGATTTATTGATCCAGCTTACACACTTTTATAGTAGTGTTAATGAAGTTCATACATATTGCAAAACCCGAGCTCATTATTGGCTACAGATTACACACCAACCCCTCCTTTTGTTGTCAATATCTGTGGTTTCTTGTTGAGACTAACATTTGCTTTTCTCATCCTGTTGTTGACTTGTTATTGACTGTTCTCAAGACCTTCATGTTTTCCATCATGTTTTTTCTCATCACTTTACTCAAGGACACGGTGTTTATTGTTTAAGGAAAAAGCCTGAGAACTTGCTGCTTACAGCTGCCTTTTACTTTCTAACCAGCTGTATATTTTCATGGCCCCTCTATAAGCCATGTCTGAACAAAATTCTGCAACAGTTGTTTTCAGTGGGATTCAGTTGTTTTGAGGTAACCCTCTTTGCTTTTGGAGCACAAAGAGATGGAAAACACTGCCCAAAATCCCCCCACAGAACCCACAAATCCTCCAGAATATTGTCCCTAAACCATCAATTCTCCCTTAAAAACCTCTGAAATTGTGGAACTTTAGACATCTTTGATCAATTTATTTCATTTAACCCTGTTTTGGCTGTTTTTAAGGGATGAAGATGAAGCAAAAGAAAACTGAGGCCAAACCAAAAGGAGAGAAGCAGCCAGGTGTGTTCCCAGCATGGATCACAAGGAATGTAAGTGACCAGGGCGGTGCCCAAAGTGCCTCCTCCAGTGTGGGATGGAGCAGAAGCAGCGCACGAAGCTCTTCCCGCACTCGGGGCACTCGCAGGGCTTCCCTTAGTGGTGCCTCCGTTGGTGTTGGGGCAAGTGAGAGCTCTGTGAGAAGCTCTTCCCACACTGGGGATACCCATAGGGCCTCTCCCCAGTGTGGATGCGCCGGTGCCTGATGAGGTGGGAGTTGCGCTGGAATCCATTCCCGCACTCGGGGCAGTGGAAGGGCCTCTCCTCTGTGTGAATCCGATAGTGCTGGAGGAGATGGGAGCTGGTCTGAAACCCCTTCCCACACTTGGAACACTTGTAGGGCCTCTCCCCAGTGTGGGTCCTCTGGTGCGCAATCAGGTGGCAGCTATGGCTGAAGCTCTTCCCACATTCTCCACACTCGTAGGGCCTCTCCCCGGTGTGTATCCTCTGGTGCTTGATCAGCTCAGAGCTCCACCTAAAGCTCTTCCCGCAGTCCACGCACGGTTGAGGCTTCTCCCCATCATGGAGCACCAGCTCCGAGCTCTGGCTCCATCTCCGGCCACCTTCCCGGCCCAGGCTGGCTCTTTCCCCCTCAGATCCCTGCCAGCTGCGTTTGCAGCCCCTCCTCGTGCAGCATCTCCAGGGCTTTTCCTCCCTGTTGGCTTCCTGCGCCGTGGAGCCGCTCAAAATGGCCTCTTCCACCAGGTTCTGCCGCGGGCATTTGTCCTCCCTGCTCTCCATGCTCAGCTCCTGCTCTGGGGGAGGAAGGACAACGACAGGATGGGATTTGTCTCCGTGCCACAGGCAAGGGCAAGGAGATTCCCCCAGGGCTATGCTGCAGCCGGGGCCGTGCTGGGCTGGAGATGGAGCAGCACAGAGGGGAAAGGGGCACTGACGTCCTCCTCACCTGCCTCAGTGTCCCGGGGCATCTTCCTCTTCCTCGCAGCATCCCAGGGCTTGGCAATGGGAAATCCTGGTTTGGGGAAAACAAGGGATGAGCACAGTGAGTTTGAAGGTCCCTCTGCACCAGTCCATCTCTACAAGTCACTGGACATCTGGGCTCCAGAAAACCTCCGAAACACCAAGATTCAGCCCTGAAAAAGCCTCCCAGGTCCCTCACCTCTGGTGTTACAGTGTTGCCCCTTGTCCCAGCTGCTGGGGTCATGTTTGGATTGGGGGTCCCCTTCTCCTTGGTGCCCGCCCTGCCCAGGCTGCTGGGAGACCCAGCGATCCCAAAAGTTCCCTGTTTTCCATCTCCCCGCTTTGGGATGCCGGGGCTGTTTGAGCTTCCGGGCTCCCTTCTCCCCTCATTCTCTGCTCTGGGCTGGGCTGCAGCGCATGGTTCCATCTGCTCAGCCTTGATCCGCCTCTGTCCCGCCTCTTCCTCTTCCTCCCGCTCCTCCTGTTCCATCCCCTCTCCTCCTCCTTCTCCCTCACCCCACCTCCTTCTCCTCTTCCATCCCTCCTCCCCCTCCTCTTTCCCCACCTCCTTCTCCTCCTTTGTCCCTCCCTTTCCCTCCCTCCTCCTCCTCCTCCCTGACCCTCCCTCCTTCTCCTCCGTCTCTCCTCCCATTTTACCCCTCCTCCTCCTCCTGCTCCTCCCTAACCCCACCTACTCCTCTTTTTTCCATCCCTTCTCGATCTCCTTTATCCCTCCTCTTCCATGCCATCCCTGTATTTCCAGTCCCGGTCCATGTGATCCCAGTTTGGTGGGATCCCATTCCATAGAATCTCAGAGCAGTTTATCCCAGTGTGTATGGCCCGGATCCATATGGTGCCAGTCTGTGCAGTCCCAGTCTGTAGGATCCCAGTCCAGGTTATCCCAGTCTGTAGGATCCCATTCCATATAATCCCATTTCACAGGGTTCCAGTTTATACAGTCCCAATCCCTATTTGGTCCCATTCCAGTTTATCACAGTCGTTTATCCTTTTCCGTAGGATCCCAGTGCAGGCTATTCCAGTCCAGTTTATCCCAGTCCATAGGATCCCAGTACCATATAATCCCAGTCCATAGGATCCCAGTCTGGGCTATCCCGTTCCAGTTTGTCCCAGTGCATAGGATTCCAGTCTCTCAGGCATCCGCTGAGTGGGGAACTGGGATAACTGGTGAGCACAGGATGGGGTGGGGGGGGGAGGGAACTGGCATAACAGGAAAAATGGGATAAGAGGGGAACTGGGATAATGGGGGGAACTGGGAGAGTGGGATAATGGGGAACTGGGATAATGGGAATTCTGGGATAATAGGGAGAGTAATTGGGATAATGGGAACTGGGATAACTGGGATAATGAGGAGAGTGGGGTAATGGGGATACTGGGATAATGGGGAACTAGGATAACTGGGATAACTGAGATAATGGGGAACTGGGATAATGTGGAACTGGGATAATAGGGAACTAGGAAAACGAGAATGCTGGGATAACTGGGGAAACTGGGATTACTGGGATGATGGGGAAACTGGGATAATGGGGAGCTGGGATAATGGGGAAACTGGGATAACTGGGAGAGTGGAATAATGGGATACTGGGATAAATGTGGGGAAACTGGGATAATGGGAGTACTGGGATAATGGGAGTACTGGGATAACAGGAAAATTTGCAATATCAGAATAATGGGAATTCTGGGCTAACAGGAATACCGCAACAAATGGGAATTTTGGGATAACAGGGACACTGGGATAACAGGAATTCTGGGTTAACAGAAACTCCAGGATAATGGGAATTCTGGGGTCAAGGGGAAATTTGGGATAACAGGGAAATTTGAGATCATGGGAATTCTGGGATAACAGAAATTCCAGGATAATGGGAAGCTTGGGATAACAGGAATTATGGGATAATGGGGAAATTTTGGATAATAGGAATTTTGGGATAATGGGAATTCCAGGATAACAGAAATTCCAAGATTATGGGAATTTTTGGATAATGAGGAAATTCGGGATAACAGGGAAATTTGGGATAGCGGATCCCACTCCATATGATCCCAGTTCCTATTTGATCTCAGTCTATATTTAATCCCAATCCATATTTGATCTCAGTCCATATCTGATCCCAGTCCCTATTTGATCCCAGTCCATATTGCCCTGCACACATTGCTAAAGTCTGGAATTCCAGCTCCCAGACAGGAAAAGATGTTCCCGCCCTTGAAGGCAAATGGAGCAAAATCCTACAGAGACATTTCCCTGCCAGCCTTCAGGACTTCAGCTCCTGGGACTGGGAATTAAAATAATAATTGGGAAATAATAAATAATCAGGGGAGGGTCTGTGGGGACAGAGGGGGCAATTAAATCAGGGCAGGGTCAATTAAATCAGGGCAGAGTTGTTGGTGGTCACTGGGGCAATAAATCAAAGGAGGGTATTTGGTGGTCCCTGAGGCAATTAAATATAGGGAGGATCTCTGGGGGTGCCTGGGTCAATTAAATCAGGGGAGGATCTATGGTGGTCCCTGAGTCAAGGGAGACACTGAGAGAGAAACAAAGCAGGCAAAGAGAGGCAGGTGAGAAAAGGGGACACAAACACAATCAGCTGAGAAGGTGGCACTCTGCAAACAGAACTGCAACGGACTGAACATGAACGGGAGAGAAATCAGTAAGTCTGAGAATTTTATTTGCTATCAAATGCATCCCACACACCCAGCTCCACACAATCCTCATCCCACCGCTCTAACTGAGATCCCACTTCTCCCAATCTCCTCCCAGCCCCATCTTACTTAGGTGGCTGAGGAATCAAGTGAGTTTGGTACGGCACTGAGTTTTTTTGAGGTTAGATTGAGCCCTTTAGGGTAAGATTGAGTTGTTTTCACTGGGATTTCAGTGGTTTTCAGGTGACAGATCCATCTCTCTTGACTTTTGGAGTGCAAAGAGATAGAGAAGCTAGAAACATTAGGGCCAAAACAAAAGTAAAAGCTGCCAGGTGTGTTGCCAACATGGATCACAGGGAATGTGAGTGACCAGGACTGTGCCCAGAGTGCCTTCTCAAGTGGGGGATGGAGCTGGAGCAGCGCACGAAGCTCTTCCCGCACTCGGGGCACTCGCAGAGCTTCCCTTAGTGGTGCCTCCGTTGGTGTCGGGTCAAGTCAGAGCTGCTGGAGAAGCTCTTCCCACACTGGGGACACTCGTAGGGCCTCTCCCCAGTGTGGATGCGCCGGTGCTTGACGAGGGTGGAGTTGTGCTTGAATCCCTTCCCGCACTCGGGGCAGCGGAAGGGCCTCTCCTCTGTGTGAATCCGATAGTGCTGGAGGAGATGGGAGCTGGTCTGAAACCCCTTCCCACACTTGGAACACTTGTAGGGCCTCTCCCCAGTGTGGGTCCTCTGGTGCGAGATCAGGTGGGAGCGCTGGCTGAAGCTCTGTCCACACTCCCCGCACTCGAAGGGCCGTTCTCCAGTGTGGATCCTCTGGTGCTTGATCAGGCTGGAGCTCCCACAGAAGCTCTTCCCACACTCCCCACAGTCATAGGGCTTCTCCTCAGTGTGGATTCTCTGGTGCTTGATCAGGTTGGAGCTCAGGCTGAAGCTCTTCCCACACTCCCCACACTCATAGGGCTTCTCCCCAGTGTGGGTCCTCTTGTGCACAATCAGGTCGCAGTTCCACCTGAAGTTCTTTCCACACTCCACGCACGTATGGGGCTTCTTCCCATCATGGAGCCGCTCATGGAGCACCAGCTCCGAGCTCTGGCTCCATCTCCGGCCACCTTCCCGGCCCAGGCTGGCTCTTTCCCCCTCAGATCCCTGCCAGCTGCGTTTGCAGCCCCTCCTCGTGCAGCATCTCCAGGGCTTTTCCTCCCCGTTGGCTTCCTGCGCCGTGGAGCCACTCAAAATGGCCTCTTCCACCAGGTTCTGCCACGGGCATTTGTCCTCCCTGCTCTCCATGCTCAGCTCCTGCTCTGGGGGAGGAAGGACAACGACAGGATGGGATTTGTCTCCGTGCCACAGGCAAGGGCAAGGAGATTCCCCCAGGGCTGAGCTGCAGCCGGGGCCGTGCTGGGCTGGAGATGGAGCAGCACAGAGGGGAAAGGGGCACTGACGTCCTCCTCACCTGCCTCAGTGTCCCGGGGCATCTTCCTCTTCCTCGCAGCATCCCAGGGCTTGGCAATGGGAAATCCTGGTTTGGGGAAAACAAGGGATGAGCACGTTTGTAGGAGCGTTGAGGGGTAGGATGGTTGGGACGGACAGAGACGAGAGATCTCTGCAGCCAGGGCGTGGAAGTTGCGGTTTATTGCAAAGGGCCTGGGTGCAGGGCCCTGCTTGGAGCTGCCAGCCACAGGTCGGAGCAGGCCCGAGAGAAGAGAGGGGTAGAGAGGATGAGAGGGTGAGAGAGTAAGAGGGGAAGAGCGTAAGAGAGTAAGCTTCCCGTTACAATACAATAAATCTTCTTCTCTGTTGAATATTCTATTTCTCACTAACCGATCTAGTACAAGATACAAATCCTAGAGCATTTACATACAGCCTGTAAGAATCATTACATCATGATACTGTGTTACATTTTAAACCCTAAAAACATTGCTTTGGACCCCTTCTGCTGAGCTAGTAGGGTCTGCTCTGACCCCTGGGTCTGTCTGCACACAGAGGGAATTGTTTCAACAAAAGGGGATTACCTTCAGCCAGGCCACACCATTGTTTTCCAGTTGTTCACTAAGGTATCTCAAAGCTTGCTTCCATCTCAATCTTGCTTAGAGTTTCAATATTCTCAAATTCTTTTGCCAGACAATCATATTTATGAGGCTTCCCTGTTTCATCTTCCCCAACACATGTTCAGTTTGAATGTCCCTCTGCCCGAGTCCGTCTCTACGAGTCACTGGCCACGTGGGCTCCATAAAAACCTCCCAAACACCAAGATTCAGCCCTGGAAAAGCCTCCCAGGTGTTCCCTGTCCCTGGTCCCTCCCCTCTGGTGTTCGGGGGTTCCCCCCTGTCCCAGCTCCTGGGGTCATGCTTGGATTGGGGGTGCCCCTTCTCCTCGGTGCCCACCCTGCCCTGGCTGCTGGCAGTCCCAGCAATGCCAAAAGCTCCCCCCTCTTGGCTCTCCCCATTTTGGGATGCTGGGGCTGTTTGGGCTCCCGGGCTCCCTTCTCCCCTCATTCTCTGCTCTGGGCTGCAGCGGCTCCAAGGAGTCCCCCCTGCCCCTCTCTAGGCTCTTGAGGCTCCCGCCAATGGCGGCGCTCCCCCCTCTCTGGGCTCCCCACTTTGGGCTCCTGGGGGACACAGGGCTCTGCTCCTCCAGGCTGCCTCTGCCGGCACCACCACCGGCACCCCCCGATGTCCCCCCGAGGGGCCTTTTCCGCTCAGCCTTGGACTGCTTCATTCTCCAAACATCCCCCAAAAAAACCCAACCCAGGGACCCCCCGGGATATCTGGGCTGAGCTCCGCCCCCCCCCCATCGCCGCTCACCTGTGCGTTGTGGGGGGCGATGATCCCACGGGTGGGGGCTGCGAATTCAAGGAAGGCACGACTGAGTGCTTCTTTCTCTTTTCCTTGATGCTCCTACGTCCCTCCTCTTCCTCCCTCTCCTCTTTCATCCCTCCTCCCCTTAACCCCGCCTCCTTCTCCCCCTCCATCCCTGGCCTTCCCTCCCTCCTCCTCCTCCCCCAGCAGCAGCCGCACCCTTGGTCCTGCAGCCCTGGCAGCCCGTGGCAAGAGCGGGGATGGAGCCGGGACAGGTCGGGATGGGCAGCGCGGGGCTCTCGGCTGCTCCAGCCGCTGCGGGCGGGGGGAAGCCGGCCCGGGCCAAAGGAGAGGCAAACTGGGCAAACTGGGGCCTGCACATCCAAACTGGGCTTTGCTGGGGACCCTGCCTGGCCACTGCCAGCCCTTGGGGCTCCTCTCGGCACATCCGCCAGGGGGGAACGCACACAGGGCTGGGGGATCCCAGCAGAGGCAGCACTGCCAGGGACTGGGCTGGACTGGGATCCTACTGGGAGTAACTTGGGCTGTACTGGGTTTATACTGACATCCTACTAGGATCGTACTGGGATTGTACTGGGTTTGTGTTGATATTATACTGGGAACATACTGGGAGTGGCTGGGATTGTACTGTGTTGGTACTGACATCATACTTGGATCGTACTGCCATGCCAGGCCAGCATGTGATCGCACTGATGGACACTGGGATCATACTGGGATCATACTGGGAGTGAGCAGGAGCCTGCGGCAAGCAATTGAGACCATGTTAGCGGCAAATGGGATACACTGGGAGTGACTGGGACTATACTGAGGATGACTGGGAGTAGCTGTGAGCAAGTGGGGACATGATAGGAGCAACTGGGAGGAACTGGGAGTGACTGGCTGCATGCTGGGGGTGATTGGAAACTGCTGGACTTCAACTGGGATCATGCTGGAGGTGACTGGGATCATACTGGCAGTGAGTGCCACTACACTGAGGCTGACTGGGAGTGCTCGTGAGCAAATGGGATCATACTGGAAGGAAGTGGAAAGATGCTGAAGGGAACTGGGGTACACTGGGAGATACTGGGAGTGACGGGAAGGAAAGTGAGGGTGAAAGAGAGCAACTGGAACCATGTGGAGCACAACTGGTTCATACTGGCAGGGACTGGGAGCACACTGGGATCATCTTTGGATCATACTGGGAGGGACTGGACTAATACTGGGAGTGTCTGAGAGCGACTGGAAACACACCCTGCACATCATCCCCCATACTGGGCCTGACTGGGAGCAACTGGGAGCATGCATGGAGCAAATGGCATCACACTGGGACTGACTGGGCTGATCTAGGAAGCAACTGGGAATCATGCTGGATGCAGCTGGGACCATACTGGGAGAGACTGGAAGCAACTGGGATTATACTGGGACCACACTGGGAGAGCAGGCATGTGACTGGGATCAAACTGGAGCTTACTGGGATCATATTGGGGTTGAAAGGGAGCAACTGGGATCACACTTTGGGCTACTGGGAGCAAGTGAGAGAGACTGGAATGATGCTGCAAGTAAACTGGAGAAACTGGGAAGGACTGAATGCATGTTGGAGGCAACTGGGATATTCTGGGCATGACTGGGGGATCATACTGGGAGAACTGACACCTTACTGGGGCCACTGGCAGTGCCTGGAAATGACTACAGACATGCTGGGGGCAACTGGGATATACTGGGAGTGTCTGTAACCATCCTGGGGGGACTGGAACCACACTGGGAACAACTGGGACCATGCTGGGGAGAACGGGGCCCACACTGGGGGCAACTGGGAGTGAGTGGGTATAGTAGGAGTCCTAGTAAAATATATGTATTGTACAAGTGGCCGTGCCCCAATCCTAATTGTAAATGGGCCGCAGCTGTGATGTCCTTAATTGGGTGGCTGCTGTGGCTAATGAAGATAACTGGGATAAAAGGGAGTGGGTTGGCCGTGCAGGGAGAGTCTTGGAGGAGCCCTGACCAAGAAGCAGGAGCAACACTGCTGTGAAGAGCTGTGTGTGGGAAGAGCACCCTGAAGGTATGGGACTCTAGAAATATAACAACAGCAATAGAAGATAGGACAGCCGAGAGCTGCGGCAGCCTGAGAGCTGGGACTCTAGAAATATAATAACAACAACTGGGACCATGCTGGGAGGGACTGGGATCATCTGGGGAGTGACTGGGACTAGAGCAGGGACAACTGGGTTCAACTGGGACCATACTGGGAGTGTCTGTAACCACACTGGAGTGATGGAAGCACACTGGGAACAGCTGGGCCCATGCTGGGAGCAACTGGGATCACAGTGGGAGCAACTGGGATTAGACTGCAAGTGACTGGGATCATACTGGGATTACACTGGGAGTGAATGGAACCTGACTGGGGCTTACTGGGAGCTACTGGGCCCATGTTGGGAGGAAAATGTGACACACTGGGAGCAACTGGGATCGGCTGGAAGGTTCTGGAACCATGCTGAGAGCACTGAGACTATAACTGGGGCAACTGGGATCATACTGGGAGCAACTGGGACCACCCTTTGAGCAACAGATGGAAACTGGGATTGTGCTAGAGGAAACTGGGAGTAACTGGGAAAGACTGGGATCATTCTGAGGTAACTAAAACCTACTGGGAGTGTCTCTGACCATACTGGGGGGACTGGAACCACACTGGGAACAGCTGGGATCACGCTGGGAGCAACTGGGACGATGCTGGGGTGTCGGAGGAAGGAGACCCAGACACCAGTTGGTTCATCCAAGTCCAATTTATTGATCGAATACGGCGGGTTAAATATAGTTCTTAATAAGCTTCATACATATTGCAAAAGTTGAGCTCAGGATTGGTTAGTTACATATCAGCAACTACACCTACTTCTACATTCTTGTGCTTATTCTTCTGTTACATTCTGCAGATATTCAGGACTAATCTCACCTCCCTTTCTTCATGTTGCAGCAAGGTCATCCGGCATTCTTGCTTGTCAGCAGTCACTGAATCAGAGACTGCTGATCTCCCTTTCAAGCTTAACCAGCGGCATTATGTCAGGATGGCCTTTCTCTCTTAACCAGTTATTAACCAACCTCTCCACATTTCCCCCGTTTTCTTCTTGAGCAAGGAGATTAGTTTGCCAGGTTTTTGCTATCATACGGCTGACCATGTTTCGAGTACAATTAAAGACACAAGGCAAAATAAGCAAAAACAGTAAAACTACACCCAGTAGTTTTATAGCATAGATCATAAGGTTCCTCAGCCATGGCCCAAGTCCTAAGTTTTTAAGCCATTTGTCAATTCCTAAACCTTCTTCTTCCTTGAGATTGTGAAGTCCTTGTTGCAATTCTTTTATCTTAGTGTGAATGGACACCGAATGATCAGACAGATTCATACAACACATTCCCTCAAATTCTTCACATCCATGCCCTTGTGCTAAGAGCAAAAAGTCTACAGCAGCTCTATTTTGTAAAACAATATGGTTAACACTTTGCACATCTGCAGTCATCATATCCAGAATTTGGGATGTCTTGTTCAGCTCATCTCTTGCCCAGCACCCTAATTGCTTTGCTAAATTTATAGCCTTATTGGCAGATCCTCCTGGTAAAATAGTTGAAACTACTACTTGCCTGAATGTACCCCAAAACTTTGGATCTCCTATCTGGCTGCAGTCCAAGTCATGTATACTATGCTTTTTCCTGTTTGATGTTTACCTCATTTTTCCTCAGGAGGAGAATGCAAAGAGGTGTTAAGTGATTGGATTAGTAAGCATTGGTGATAGCCATCACTCTGACCTGCAGTATACCCTTGCTGCACTGGCAATGTGATGTTTGACATGTTAGACATACATAAAGTTCGATTATTTATCAAACCGCAAAATTCTCCTGGAGACCACACCGGAAGTCCTACCAGGCATGTTCAAAATGGGTTAGTAACTCTCCAAGACTAAGACAAAGCGATGATTGATTAATTTGATTAGCAAGTGTTACCCATAGATTTTCTCTTGGCTGACTGAAACGTGTTATCCCTACTGCTTCACTTGCTACAGCATTGAGCAGTATAATAAAAACAAACCTCATTTTTCTTTCTGCTTTCTCTGTTTTTCCTTTCTTCGTTGTCTTTTCCCTGGTTTGTTAGAATGTCTATTGTAAGGCTGAGTCAATTTTTGAATGCACTGGTCTAATTCCAAATCAGCATCTTTGCTTACAAGTATAGCATCAGGTAGGTTTAAAAGCAAATCAGCTTTACAGCGAGCTGCTATGATGTGTGAGGCACTAGTAATTTCAAGCTCTCTAAGTGCTTGCTGCAACTTCCATCTAATATATGCTATAACCACTTGTTCTGCACTCTCAAAAAGCTCCAATCCTGCCCTTCCTGGCAGGCCAGTACTTTGTTCAAGAGCTCTAACCCAGACAAAATCTGGAATCCACTTCCCGAAACAAGGTCCACACCATAAATTTGCTATTGTCTTTTGTGAGTACCAATAAATCTTATTACAACCTGCACAAAGCAAAGCTATCCATGCATAGCACTTATCAGCATCCCTTTTGCAAACATAACAAGGAAGTGAATGTAAGTAAGGACCAGTATAAAAATCTGTCTCTTCGACCCAATGCAACCAATTTAATGGTGGTGATTGCAAAGCCTCTTCACCTTTCTTACTATATACAGCTACCAATTCAAGCTCCTTCTTTAATACAAAATGTATCTTATCTCGTAATCGCTGTTCTTGTTCTTCAACACCTATAGCATGCCACGAAGCAGGGTCCCATGGAGCTACAGCATCCCATAAGGCAGGGTCCCATAGATGTGAAATTGCCCTAATCATAGAAAGCTAATTAGCAATCACTAATAGCCTTATTTAGATGAGGTCGTTCCCTATCTTACCTTCTTTTTCTTATCTGTTTTCAGTTTTGCTGCTCCTAATTTCACTGGTCCTGTTACTTGCAAACTTAACTTTTCAATGCAGCAGTCTAGTGCTCTTTCAGGATTCCCTCTGAAGGGTCCTACAATAGAACGTTGCGTTAAAGGTACTAATTTTCTACACCTTACAGAGACTATACGTGATTTACTTTGAACCTCAATTCTATTTACAACACATTGTACTTCCCATTGATAATAAGCAAGAATTTTCTGTTCAGGAGACTCATAAAGATTTAAAGCTATATATGCATTTTGCCCTGTTTGTCTCCTTAATTCATCTTGCCAGCTTTTACCCCACGTGTGCTCATGCTCACAAGTGTGACACCACAAATCCCATAATAATGATTGTTCTATCCAAAAAGTTCTATCACAACCCCCACAACGTAGGGCTATCCAGGCAGCACAGTGTGGATCATGACAGTCAAGGCAATGTTCCTTTGCTGGATTTGTTAAACGAAAAGTTGATAATGAGTCAATAAAACCAATCAGCTCCTGGGCTGTCCGATAGTGACGTGTCAGTGCTTTGTCCAACACTTTCGAGTGTCCCTTCAACTGTAACAGTAGTGGTCGTAGGACTAGAAACAGTTTCTTCCCCAGTCACTCCCTGTCCTCTTCCGTGAGGTGGTCCACCAGAGGCTGCATCAAAAACAGGTTTAGTCCACTTAGCATGCACCCACAAAGGCCCTGTAGGTGAGGAAACACAAAGATATCCCCGACCCCAGTATAATACTTTTGCAGGTTTTTCCCATAATCCTGTAGTCGGGTTTTAATTTCCTGACCTGACCTCGGATGATGTTTAATTGCAGGAGGGATATCGTCTTCCCCAAAAATACATAAATGATTGATCACATACAGAACCTTAGCTAAGCATGATTGTGGGTCCTTTATATCTTGATGCTTTTCAATATACTGCTTAAGGGTACCATTTGCTCTTTCCACTATTGCCTATCCAGTAGGAGAGTGTGGAATACCTGTCACATGCTTAACAGACCACTGATTCAAGAATTTCTGGACCCTAGCACTCACATAAGCTCGACCATTATCCATTCTGATACTCTTTGGGACTCCCATGACAGCAAAGCAACTTAACAGGTGCCTGATAACATGTGTAGCTTTCTCCCCTGCTTGAGCCGTAGCCCATATGTAGTGACTATATGTATCTATAGTGACATGCACACACTTAACTTTACCAAATCTAACTATTTGTGTAACATCCATTTGCCATTTCTCATTTATTTCTAAACCTCGAGGATTAACTCCAATGCCTAAACCTATTCCACCATTATGATAACTACATGTTGGACATGCTCTAACAATAGCCTTAGCTTCTGACAAACTCAGCTCAAAGTGCTTTGCCAATCCTTTTGCATTTTGATGATATTTACTATGTGCTTCTCTGGCCAATGTATGCTTATCAAAAGGACAAGAGTTATCAATGGGTAGGGTAACCAATTTATCTGCACGTTCATTCCCTTCTCCTAAACCTTCAGACCATTTATGACTCCCAATATGAATCACAGAATACACTGCATTTCTCTCTCGTAAAGCTTTCCTTAATTGTATCAATAACTCATACAATCATTTATTATTCACTTCCTTAATTGCTGCTTCCTCTATTTGTCTGACTACTCCTGCAACATACATAGAGTCTGTGACCACATTTAAAGGCTCCTGTAAGTTGGACACTGCCCATACTGCTGCTAACAATTCCAAAGTTTGTAAGCTATCTGCAGGGTCTGCTGTGAGAAGTTGATGCTTCCATTGTCCTTTTTCTTGCCAGGTGACAGCAGCACGCCTTGATTTCTTTCCTGCATCTGTAAAAGCTGTAATAGCTCCTGTATCCAATAATCCATGAAAGGGTTATGCTTTGATGCCCATGGGTAATTTCCACTTTTTGTTTTGGTCTATTTTGTAAATCCACAGTTAAAAGTGTAACACCAGTAGAGCCAAAACCCTTTTCATCCCACGTTTGTCCAGTAAATGATGGTATACCAGATGTCATTTGTGATAGTGGTATTAATTGTGCAATGCGTTGTCCTTTTGTTATTTTAATAGGAGGATAAAGGGTGTAAACCATGATTTGTATTTCCCCTGTATAATCCGCATCGATAACACCAGGTAATACAAATAATCCCAGCATAGTTATTGAAGAACGTCCTAATAACAATGCTCCACATCTTTATCCATTTAATATAAGAGGACCCTTTACTCCAGTTTGTATTCTCTCAGGCCGGTTCGTCATTAGTGTGACGTCTACTGCTGCTGATAAATCCAAATCGAGGCTCTCTGCTGTTGCTGGTTGCAGGCAGGAGGTGACAGCGATGTTGCGTCGGCAGCTGGTGTCTCCGATGTCACGGCGGTTCTTATGTCTGGGCGCGTATGTCCCTCATTGCCGCATCGGTAACACTTGATGAATGGTCTCGAGCTCTGCGTGTCCGCCAGTGAGCCGCTTCGGAGAGGAGCAAGAGCAGCTAACACCTGATTCTGAGCAGCTAACACCTGATTTTGAGTAGACTCTGCTTGCTTTTGTAACCCTAATCCTAATTCCTTTAAAGTTTCTGCTATAAATGCCTGTGAAGCTGTTGGCATTAGTGCCATTCGCTCTAAAGCTTCCTCAATAGTCCAATTTGCCCCTAAAGTAGCTAACACTCTTGCATTTGCCTAACAGGTTCACTTTTTACTCCAAACTAACTAACCGTAGAACGCAATTGAGCTAACATCTTCCAATCTAAGGGAGTATATTCCGCTATATTATGTGTAAGGTTCCCCTGTGCATCATACTGTGGTGTGTATGTGACCGGACATGCAAGATTAGAAGCTACTTCCACTGCCTCGCCATCCCCCATTTGCATTACTTCTTTTGCCACAGCAGCCCAAGCTTCCCTCCTCTGTTTAGCCATCTCCCCCCATAGGTCACTGTGTGCCCCCGGGATAGAATCTGGCCCTTTAAGGGTGCTATGCTGCTGGCACTTCAGTACCGAGACCGAGTTCTCGCACGGGGAAGGCGGTGGAGCAGGGGCCGGCTCGTGCGGGGGAAGCGGCCCCCCCCTCTCTGGAGCTGACAGTGAAACCGGAGTCGACTCGCGCGGGGGAAGTGGCCCCCCCGCCAGAGCTGGCTCGCTCGGGGAAGCGGCCGAGGCAAAGGTGGCGGCGGAGGCGAAGCTGGCTTGCTCCCACCCCCACCATCCGACCCGCCTGAAGCTGGCGGCGGAGGCAAAGCTGGCTTGCTCTTACCTCCACCATCCAACTCGCCCTCCTCCCCCAACAGTAAGGGTGCAGACGGTTCCACACTATGTATAGGAAAATCCTGCACACCACTCTGCTGGGGACTCTTAGGCATAAGTATCTGAGTTACAGAAGGTGCCAGGGGATCATCCTCACGACCATACCCTATATTCCTCTTATGAGCTTCTGTTGCCCTTTCTGCTGCCTTTCTCTCAGAGACCTGCTGAAGTAACGTATTATATACCACCCGCCATAACTTGCCAAATTTCTTTGCTGACTTATCATCATCTAACACTGTATCCCACAGGACATCCCCAAACTTTTTCCACTCTACTATCTCATGAACTGTATGTGAATTAGCAAAAATTCCTTTAGAATAACCATAAGCTAATAACCCTGGTAATTCCTTTTTTAAATCTATCCCTTTTACTCCTCGCCTTTCTAAATATGAGGAGAAGGGATCGTATGCCGCTTGCTATCCATACCTATATATCAGCGCGTGCTGTTGCAGCCCTCCAGGCTTCCTGCGACACCTAGAGACTTGAGTCACCGTTGTGATCCTCAAGGGTGCTTTTAAAATCCGGCACCATCCCGGCTGCGAGGACTCTCACCCAACTTCCTAGACCGTGGCGAATTTATAATCCAAGAAAGTGAACGTTCAGAGTGCTGCCCGCATTCTCCACCATTTGTCGGAGGAAGGAGACCCAGACACCAGTTGGTTCATCCAAGTCCAATTTATTGATCGAATACGGCGGGTTAAATATAGTTCTTAATAAGCTTCATACATATTGCAAAAGTTGAGCTCAGGATTGGTTAGTTACATATCAGCAACTACACCTACTTCTACATTCTTGTGCTTATTCTTCTGTTACATTCTGCAGATATTCAGGACTAATCTCACCTCCCTTTCCTCATGTTGCAGCAAGGTCATCCGGCATTCTTGCCTGTCAGCAGTCACTGAATCAGAGACTGCTGACCTCCCTCTTTCAGCTTAACCAGTGGCATTATGTCAGTATGGCCTTTCTCAGCTAACCAACTCTTAATAAAATCCTCCACACTGCTCCTTCCTGCGTGGAGACTTTGGACACAAAAGCCTTCATGCTCTCAGCAACTGTTTCCAAGTCATAGTTTTGCTCCTCCTCATTTGGGGAAGGAAGGGACTCATTTCTTGTCTCCTTCAGCATCTGATCCAGAGCACCTCGTGTAATATCCAGCCAGCTGTCATCTGAAAGAACACAGCACACATCTGTTACTCTGCACAAGCCTGCTGGCCCATAGGCCCCAACCAGCTGACTGACAGGACTGCAACCATCCTGCAGCTCAGCTCTGCAGCTCAGCTCTTGTGCTGGTCCTGGGTCACACACAGCAAAGCCAGAGAGAGGCTGAGAAGAACTGAGTGCAGATTTCTTGTCACTACTTAAAAACTCTGTTTTGCAGAGCTCAAACTCAGAGAGACCATTCTAGTCACTGAGAAGCCTTGGGCCACTCAGTGGAGGAAGAAAGGCTTACTCTAAAGTGGGAGAGCCAACCCAGTGTTTAGTCTTAAGGAAGGCTGGATTTGCTCTCCCTTCACAGCTGTCAGCATTGCCCCTCTCCCCCCACAAATAATCATCTGTAATAGGAATAATTCCCCCATCCAGCTCACCATCCCCTGCAGGAAGAAAAGCTGCTTCTCTCTCCAATTCCTTCACATCAATGGGGGTTGTCTGTAGTAGTGTCAGGATTTCATCACCTGGGCTCACTTCATCACAGCTAGAAGTAATCAATTTACTGAAATGGATTCAATGGGATCACATGCTCTGCATTCAGGTTTTCACTTGAATTCTTCCATTTTCCTTCTGTGTAAGCACATCAAAAAGGGAAATGAATCTAGGGAAGTACCAGAGCACTACACAGAGCATTGACCAAAACAGGACACAGTCAGTCCCTGCAATTCCCAGCTGATGGCTCCAAAGCCCATTGGTCATGGCTCCTTTCCTTCACATTTCATTTGCCTTGGTAAATATTAAGATTACCTGATGCCAACCAGCACAGACTGGAAACTGAAGAAAATAACAGTCAAGATATTATGGGCTGGCAAAGCCTCAGATATTTCTGTAGTGATTTATTTTTTGGATTTGATCGTCCAGAGAAATCCACAGCCAGCTCCTTGAGCAAAGGAGACAGATTACCCTGTATTCATTATTCACTGGGACTGCTTTTCAATGAAACTTTTCTACACTTTCTACAGTCAACCAAGCAAAAATTGCTTTGCAGTCACCACAGAATCCACCTGGAAGAGCTCAGCATTTCACAAAACCAAGATAAAAGAGTTACTTAAGCCAGAACCCCTCCCAGTGGAGCATTCCAGAGGAATTTGTACTTGTATGTCCTGGCCACAGCTCCCATGTTCAATGTGCAGTGGAGAAAAGGGTTCAGGTGTTTGTAACAAGGATTTCAAAGGTCACTTACAGGATTTGTAGGGTGTATGACACTCATGAATTTCAAGTAGCTCTCACCTTTCTGGCACTGCAACAGATTGCTGGAAGTGATCTTCTGCCATGTGCAACAGTTCCAGGTACTTGGCTGATCCTTCCATTTCTCCCTATTGAATGCAAGTCACAGGCATGAACCCAAACAATTCTCCCTCCCCTTCCTCCTCACAGTCAGGCTTCCTAAGGGTGACTGTTGGTCACACAGGAATGCTGAGAGAACCAAAACAACTAAAACCTCTTGGCCAGGTACACTTGGAACTCAACATAGCCAAGGGGCACTCCTGTATTTAAAGTATATTAAAGGATATTAACCTAAGAATCTCAATAAAGATGTCCAATTTTATAACCTTCAAACAAGTAGTCAATTTATGTCCCATTTATTAACATCAAAAAAGTAGTCAAAGGCATCTTAAAAAAAGAAAAAAAAAAACCCACAGAACCTCACCAAAACCCCCAGAAGTCACAAAAACCACACACACATAAAAATTACACTTGCATGGGCCCAGATAGGTCGATGGTGTTATGTATGGATCTTGAAGAATATTGAATTCCAGAGGGGTGGAAATGAAATGTAAACCAGTGAAATCAGTTACACCTCACACAATCACATATGGGAGTTTTCTTCACTCAAGTGTATTTCTCCCCTTGCTTTAGATGAATGAATCAATCCCCACATCTTGCTTTTTCCTTTTTAATTTCCAAAATAAATTACTTTCAAAGGGGAACAACCTGCACGTGTCCCCTTTAAACACATTGCTTCATTTCACACAGAGATAAGGATTCAAGCTCCTCACACAATTTCAAGGGTAAAAATGTATTTTCCCTGGAATGTTTAAAAGCCACAGACTCTGAAATACTCACAGACCTTGAAATAATCCTTCTCCTTCAAGCTCCTGAGGAATCTCTCCCACAGAGGACCGCTTAACACGTTTCTCTTGGCATCAGGAGCCACTTTACTGCTCTTGGAGCACAACATTTCAAAGCCATGAGACTGCAGATATAAGATGCAACAACAAGAGGTTCTCAAGGTGTGACAGACTTTGCTCACATTTCTCTGGACAAGCAGGCAACCTCCAGACAAGGACCCATTCCCTGGGCATGCATGAGCCAAGGCCAAAATGCCCCAGGAATCATTACCAGCTTCATGCCCAGCTCGCAGGCTCTGTACTGAGGATGAGCTGGGGCGGGCAGGGTGTATCCACTGCGTCTGTCTGGAACAAACTGCTGCTGCACCAGCTGTGCATATAAACACCGAGTGAAAGTCACCTGCAACAGCCACAGCAGAAACAAACACTCCCTGCAGCGCGACTGGGCTGGGGACAGCCAGCAAACTCCCTCCAGGTCACCAGAGTGGGTTTGGAGGCACCCATATTACAGGCAGTGCCTGAGACTGCATTCAAAATATATCTTAGAAAGATTTTTCTGATAAATTGCTTTTCAGGCCTTACAAAGTTTGTTCCAAATTGAAATCCCCAAGCAAATATAAACTTTTGTCATTCTAAATACATTAGGAAAAATCCTTGATATTCTGGAAAATCCCTATTTGAACTGGCACAAGTTTCATCAAATACATCTTGTTTCCTTAACAACAATAATTGTTACATGTTTCTCTTCAACTGGAGAAGTGCTTCAGGAGAACCAGCATAGCCCAACTGCTTCAGAGCATCCCAGGCATTAAAAAGCAGCATTTCAGGTGCTACAGGCGACCTCTGCTGGTTCCTGATCCTAAGTAAAGCCCTGAATGCAACGTTCTCAACTCCCTCACTCTGTCTGTTCCCTCAAACAAAAGGAAAGTATGAGCCTGACACTCTAGGTACACACTTGCAATCTATTTTGGTCTTGTGTTCCAGCCCTTGTAAGACTCCTGGAGTAGGGGAAAAATAATTGAACAATTTTTTCCTAATGACCAAATTAATGATCTTCACTTTAATCCACTGCCATTAGCAGCCATCCATATCCAGGTGAAGGTGTCTGCTTATTATTTCACCTGAACAAGACAAAGCCTGTGTCCTTACAGAGACAGCAACACTCCAGCCCTGAGCATTCCCTACTCTGAGGGCAGCAAATCCTCTGGCCTAAACACTCCACAACACAGTAGAAATAAAATAATGCAAGTAGTACTAGCAGAGCTAGAAAGTTCAGGTGGATACAGGAGTGCTTATGAAGGGAGCAACAGTCAGGGACAGACAGCACTCTGGATTTTCAGAGGCAGTCAGACCACTTGCCTAGAAGTGCAAGAGAAAACTCCAGCTGCTACAGAAAAGGCCATTGGGTCCCCCTTGCCAAGTGCACACAAGTTTTTCTTACCCTGTTTTTACTGTTCTCAGGATTCAGCCACTTTGGGAGAAAATCAGCTGCTTCTATCAAGAGAAACTCTCCATCGTTGTCATCAATTCTGGCCAAGGAGAAATTGGTTTCTTAGCAGGAAAAGCCTTGCAGAGCACAACAACACACTTCTCAATTCATGTCCGCTGGGGTTTTTTTAATATTCATAAACCCATAGAAAGGCTTAGGTTAGAAGGGATCTTAAAGATCAACACCTGGTTCCAACACCCTTGCCACAGCCAGGCACACCTTCCACTAGCCCAGGCTGCTCCAAGCCCCATCCAACCTGCCCTTGGACACTTCCAACGTGTCTGGGATGGGGAAACACCTCCAAGGATGGGCAATGCTAAGACAGGACCTTCAGAGCACAGGCACTGCCCCTTGGCAGCCCTCCCACTAAAGCAGCTCAGCAGCACCCGCCTTACCTGGCTGCCAGCCCCGCGAACTCCCTGCTCATGTCCCGCAGCAGCTACACAATGAACCACTCATCCTCCACCTTATCCCCGAACACCGCGGTGCCGCCCAAGTGCGCCGGGATCTCGCCTGCACGGGGCACAGACAGGAGAGGCGGCTCAGCAACGCCGTGCCCAGCAACAGATTGTCCACACGGGCTGCGGAGTCTCCCTCACTGCGGATATCCCAGACCCTGCTGACACAATCTTGCGTCCTGTGCTCGGGGATGGCCCCGCTGCAGCAGGGAGGTGGCACCAGATGCCTCACTGGGTTAACCCGTGCTGTGACACCGAGTGTCGGGGAAGCCGCCGGGTCCCCCTCACACGCCGTCGGTTCCCGGCCGCCGGGTTGCCCTCATACGCCACAGTTCCCCCCTCAGACGCTCCTGGTTCCCGGCCGCCGAGTTCCCCTCACACCCCCGCCCCCGGGTGCTCCTCACACGGCCCAGTCGCCCCTCACACACTGCCGGTTCCCGGACGCCGGAGTCTCCTCAAAAGATCCCGGTTCTCGGCCGCCGGGTGCCCCTGACACTCTCTCAGTCCCCACTCACACTCTCCCGGTTCCCGGACTTCGGATCCCCCTCAGACGCTCCCGGTTTCCGGCCGCCGGATTACCCTCAAAAGATTCCGATTCCCGGCTGCCAGGTGTCCCTAACACTCTCCCGGTTCACCCTCACAAGCTCACGGTTCCCGGCCGCCGGATCCCCTTCAAACGATTTCCGCCCAGTTCTCCCTCAGAGACTCCTCGAGTCCGGCCGCCGGGTTCCCCCTCACACACCCTCGGTCTCCCCTCACGCTCTCCCGGTTCCCGGCCGCCGGGTCCCCCTCCCAGTCCCTCCGCGCCTCCCGGCCCGCTCCCGGCTCACCGCGGCCCGGCACGTAGCGCAGGCGGAACGGCTGCCGCTGCCACACGCAGGCGGCCAGGAGCGGGGCCAAGCGCACCAGGGCCAGCTCAACGCAGCGCCGCAGCAGCGCCTCGCCGCCTGGGCCCGCCGCCGTCGCCAACAGGCGGGAGCGCACCGCGTCCTCGGGCAGCGCCGGCCGCAGCAGCGCCTCCATCGTGCCGGGGCCCAGAGCGCTCCGCCCCCGGGGAGGAGCGGCGCGATGGCGGCGGCGGGGCGGCGGCGCTGAGGGTGATATCGCGATACGCGCGGAAACCGGTGTAGCCGTGAGTGGCCGCCGCTGCCCCGGTGCCCGGCGCGGCCCCGAGCCCCAGCGCGGTCCCGGTCGCGATCCCCCCGATCCCGCTCCCGGGCCTGCCGCCCGCGCTGCCCCCAGCACCGAGCAGGGCCCCATGACGGCCCGGTCACCCCCTGTCCCCGACGGGAGATGGTTCCCGGCATTCCTGAGCACCGGTCCCGGCCCGACACCGGTGGGACCGAACGCGATTAAATCACTGCAACCGGCTCTTATCCCCTGACTCGAGAGTTGGGTCAGTTCTGACTTACTCGGCTCGTTTACTCTTGTTGTATTTAATTTTATTCAATGTAATTAATCTACAGGGATAACGGCGTCATCTCTGCTTTTAGGGAGGTGTATATCAATTCGCAGCATCTTAGGTTTAAGTTTAACTGATTTTGATCTAGCTGTCCTGTTGGTATAGGGTCAAATTGCCAAGGCCAAGAGACTTGAATATAGTTTTGAGGCAGAAAACATCTGGGTTTGTTGCCAATTTTCCAACCATGTAGAGCCAGGGCCTGGCCAGAGCCCAGACCCTCATTGGGAGGGTCTCCCCCACATACCTTAAAAACAAATCTCTCAATAAGGCCAGCTGTGAGATGCCCCAAACAAAGCAAACTGCTGGAGTGCTCCTGTGAGAATAATTGGGGCTGTGTGTGATTGCAACAGAGCAGGAGCAGCCTTGCCCTCAGCAGGTCACAGCCCTGTCCCATGAGGATGTGGCACAAAAGGGTCGGGAAAGACCACAGGACCTCAGCTCAGATGAGGCTTTTGACAGAGCCCAGAGATCTCATCCTGGAACTCTGGAAACACAGGAAAATCATGAGACAGCCCAGGGTCAAGGCACAGCAACCCTGCTGGAACAGGAGAAGGGACTAAAGGCTGAGCAGGCAGTGCAGGGAACGGCTGCAGACAGCCTGTTCAAAGAGATGCAGCTGCAGCTGCAGAACAAAACAGAGAGATCCCAAAGTGACACCATGTCAAAGATACGTCAAAGTTCATGAAAAGCCAGCTATAAATAAGGTAATGATGTGTCGTAGGAAGGAGACCAGGACACCAGATGGTTCATCACAGGTCCAGTTTATTAAAGAAAGCATCAAACACTTATACAGCAAATAATAAGCTCATGAATATTCTATAAGCCAAGCAATCTATTGGTTAAACTATACCTTAACTCATCCACATTCCTTTGGGCCTACGTTCTCTACTTCTCACACCTCGCTGTCCATTTCTTTATCATCCTCTGCTAGGCCCAAGGAGACGTTATCTTTGCAGGTGAAAGATTTGGAATTAAGCACTGTCTTGTACTTTTCCATTCTTTAGCCTGCTACTTTCTCAACAGACACCCTGCCTGCAAAAAGGCCTCTGCCCTACTTAGGACATCTCTACCAAATCAATTTGGCTGTGTCCTCTCTCCTCAAGCCACTCTTTGACAAAACTCTCCACAATGATGTCCTATGAATAATGCCTGTTATAAAAATGAGGGAATTCACATGATGGAACAAATATATCAGCAGTGACTGTCTCAGGAATTGGAGACAATATTCTTCCAGCATTCCTGTATCCATAGCAATGAAACACTGAACAGCTTACAATGGATAACAGCCACAATGTGGAACAACCACCCACTCTCCTGTGTTATCTGTGGAAGATGAACCAGAAGAGATCACAATCAATGATCCTGTCAGGCAGTGCAGCACTGACACCTGTGCAATCTGTGAGAGGATCAAGGGTCCAACAAACTGTATCTTCTTCTATCCAAAGGCAGGTGTTTATCAGTGTTTCATCACAGCTGTTTCAGTGGGATCTGTCTTATCTCTAGAAGGAAATAACCACATCTTGCAATGTAAACAAACATATTTATCGAAATTAAGTTAGGACTTGTAATCACTTGCAGTGGAATTCAATGTCATCTCAGTAGACTTAGAGGTACACTTAAGACAACTTAAAGTTAACATCTTTAATACTCAATAAAAAATGATTTTAATAAAACTGGAATAGAACATGAAATGGCTTAAAGTGAAGAAGGTTGAAACTTGACCTCGTCTAAACTCAGCAACACTCAACCCTGACAGAAATCCACCTCGACATAAATGACTATTAACAAAATTAACTCAACAGAGTAATAAAACATAACATCACTCAGATCTAACTTTGCTTAATCTTAGCAACACTAAAATCATATTCAGATAGAACAGAACTGAAGGAACAATCAATATCCTTCAAAGTTCGAGGTACTACAAAATGTAACTTATTCTGATGGTATTAATACCAAAAGACAATGAAAATGTGGACCAAGCATGTTTGAAATAACACCCTGATGGATTTACTGGAGGGATTACAAAAGTCAAATACCTTGACCCTATGTAATTTAACATTGAGAAAAACTCATGGTAACTGCAATTTTTAAGGAACCAAAAATTTACTAAAAGCATTTAAAGTGCAATTCTACCAAAAGAAACAACAATGTAAAATTTGGCTACGTGTGGAACAAACTGAGAGCTTCTCGAGATTGTATTCAGTGTAATAGCATATGCTAAAAGTTATCAGCATTTGTGTTAAAGAAATTAGATTGTGTTATGCTGCACGTGATAATAATAACGAGGGACTGGATTTACCCCTTTGAATCTCTCCAGTAACAATTCTCAGAGAAATCAGAGTTCACCAAAAACACAAGATTAACTTCAAATAAGCATTTCAGCACATGTTTACGGCATTCTAGGACACGGAGCGTGAGGCTTCAGTAGCCAGGGGCACTCAGAGCCCTTCGGCAAATGCCGGGGGTTCGCCCCGCCGCAGGGTTGGGGAGCCACGGGGGGCAGTGAGTTCGGCCGGGCCCAAGCGGAGCCGCCGGGCAAAGCCGAGCCCCGGGAGCGGGGAAAGCGCCGGCGGCAGCGAGGGCAAAGCCGAGCGGGGAAAGCCGAGCTTGGACCCGCACGGGGCTCGGGGCTCGGCGGGGCAGCCCCGCGCCTGCCGCCACCGCAGGGGGTTTGCACTGCGCTCACCGGGCCATAGGGACTCGGGTTCTGATCCCCGAATCCGGGCTGGCAGCGACGGGAGGCGCCGGAACGGTGAAGGAACCGATCCCGGAGAAGGCAGCGGCGAGCGCCGGGGCGCGGCGGGGGAGCCGCCGATCCGCGATTGGCTGCGCTCCCGCCGCCGATTGCTCAGATCGGCCAAAATCCCTCCCACACTGACGCTGTCCGTGTAGCAGTGAGGGGGTACGAATCGCGCCCATTAGACTGGAGGCGCAGCGGCTGTCGCGCCCAGAGCCCGGCAAGCCTATAATAAAGCTGGGAAGCGGCTTCAGCACAGGTGCGACTCGCGGTCAGTTTTGCCTCAGCTCGGGCCTCGGGGTTCTGGCGAGTTCCATGTGCCGGGTTTCTCCGTGTGCCCAGGCAGGGAGCAGCAGCGGCCGTGCCGGCGCTCGGTGTGCCCGGGCTCCGAGGCGCCGGGGCAGGGAATCATGCGGGGCACAATGGTGAGCAGCCCGGGGCTGCTGCTTCTCGCCCCTCGGCAGGCGGACTCCGAGCCGCAGCTGCCCCGGGCCAGCAGCAGCCGCAGCTCCCTGTCCAGGGGCGAGGCCGCCACGAGCCGGGCCGGCAGTGTCGCTCTCAGGAGCGCGGGCAGCGGCAGGGGCGGCTTGGAGTGCGGCCGTCCGGGGGCAGGGGCGGCGGGGAGGAGGCTGCGGGCAACGGCATTGCGGGGAGCGGGGCCACGCCGAAAGACGCGGAGCTGGCGGCCCGGCCTCCCATTGTGCCCACTCTGAACAGAGATTTTTGTTCTTGGAGGCACATAATTTTATTACTCTTCTCTCCGTTTCAACTTCTTGTAGGATTACAGTGACTTTAATATTTGTTTGCTTTGCTGTGGAGTCTTCTGTTTGATATTAATTACAACTATATCTCTCCGTACCTTTAAGTCTTAGAGAAAAAAGTCTTGTTTCCATAGTTTTACCAGAGGGTTCTAGCTTTAAGATTAAGGCATTTCCTTATTTCTCTTGTTTGGGATTTAATTTCTTCTTTACTGTCTCAGAAGCTGTACAGGTTTTAGTAGCTAAAACTTTTGCATCGCTTTTTTAAATACCTGCCGTGCAAAACCAAAACTGGTGGATGTCGTCGAGAATTGGAATACAGTTTATCTGCCTGAGCTGCAAAGGCGCGGTGGGAAGGGACGGCCGCTGTGAATGCTGCGCGAAAACCGCGCGCTAAGGAAAAGGGACCTGTGAAAAATGCCAATCACTTGTTTTTAAAAATTTTAAAAGTTTAATAGTAATAAAATGTCTAGGACAATATGAGACAATAAAAACAAAGAGTTACGGACGTCCGGGTACCTTTCTCTGGGCATCACGAGCCCAAAAAAGGACACCCGTTAACAAAGGATTAACCCTTAAGAACAATAGCCCGTTGCATATTCATACACTTCATCCATGATGCATAAATTCCATTCAAACACAGGATTCTGTCTGGTCAGTGTCAGCTTCTTCCTTCTAATCCTAACAGCGCCTTCGAGGTTGGAAGAAGTTCGTTTATTCTGATAAGAAGGCAATAAATTCTCTTTCTCTGAAAGATTTAGGTGTCCTGTGGCTGCTATCTCGCTGCAAGCCCTTCTTGTTAAACAAAGCATCTTACATGGCATAGTTTCTATTTTAACAATTTTTATAACCTAAAACTATATTGAACACAGTACTTAAGAGAATTAATACAGCATTCCTTTCTAACACAACACATGTAATATTCATTTTAATATTTGCAAAAAGCCAATCATAAAATACATGCATTTTTCACAATTCCCACTCTTATTATTTGTAAATCATTTGGCTTGAGCAATATTTTTATCTACTTGCATCCTCTGGGCTATGTTGGCAAAATAAAACGGGA